GCTCGGCCGCGGCTCCGACTGCCCGTGGCCCCAGCTGCCAGCGAGAATGCTGCCCGCTCACTCCAGGGGCTGCATTTTGTAGCTTGTGGCTTGGCCGAGAGCCCACTTGGTCATGTGGTCATCGGGAGGGCTGGAGAGGGGGGCAGGAAGAGGCAGAGGGAGCGAGCCTCCCGCACCGCCCCCCTCCCGGCACGCACTCTGCAGCCCGGGCAGGGGCGCGAGAGGGAACCCTGAGGTGGCCCCTCAACAAAGGCTACACGGTCTCTCTGACAACCCACAACTGCTCCCCGGACAATGCCTGCCTGGCCAGGGGCCAGAGGGTTTGCAGAGACCTGAAGGATTTCAAACACAGGAAGCATTTGGGGAGGTGGAGGGGCACAGTTAACCCTTTCTCACCTCACTTCCTTAACAGCTATCAGGAAACCTGGGCGCTCAGGGAAGGACCTAATTCGGGCTGCCCTCACGCACCCCCTCCATCTCTGACCCTGACCCTGGTGCTTCTGGCCGCTCCGCAGCAGCGAGGATTTTTGGTCAAGAACCCCACACACCGGCCCTCCTCTTCTGCATCTTCAACTGGGCTTGAATTAGGACTGCCAAGGTTTGTGCCCAAGGCTTGATTGATTGTCCAACACCCTCATTTTTCCTGCAGCCCCCAGGAGGCACGCTTTACCTGGAAGGCCCCACCCCACCCACCCTTTCGTGAGCTCTTCATTCTTGCAGTAGCACCTCAAATCCCACCTCACCCAGAAGCCCTCCCAGGATAACAGTAGTTAAGAGGGGCTGCCCCTCAGCTCTTCCTCATTGTTGGGACATGCAACAGTTCTTATGATGCCTCCTCTCTTGTTCCCTGGAGCTGTCCCCACCATCATGAGAAAAGGAAGTTTTACCCAACTCCACACAGCTAGGCTGGATTCATTTTTGGTGGACTTGGGATTCCCCTTTACAAGCGGGTCTTGAAGTTGTTTATGTCTCCAGCCTAGACTGTTAGCTCCTTCTCAGCCTGGAGGCTCCCAAGGAATGAGACTGCCTCCTGCACTGGACTGGGAACCCCCCAAGATAGGATTGTCTTCTCTTTCTTCAGAATCTCTCCAAAGTCCCCAATATCCTGCTCTGCACATAGGTGGCACTCAACACATGTTAAAAGACCAAATCGAAAGGTGCTTCCACCTTTCAGCTAGCCAGGCAGTTTGTTTGAAGTACAAGTCGAGATTTACACAAAACATACATTGGACAGTGTTTATATGTGTCATAAAAGACCTGAGAGACCGTGGTATATTTAAAATATCACAAAAATCCAGTATGTACACAATATATTTATTACCAATCTTCAGTTTCTCTCCACCAGCATTGTTGCCTCTACAGGAGAGGGATCTTTGCTTTGCTCATGACTGTGTCCCCAGATCTAGAACAGTGCCTTGGCCATAATTGGTGCTCGAGACATAATTTTGAATATATGAATTAAAATTTCCAAAATATTCCAACTGCTTAAGTCAAGGTAGCAGGAAGATACAATAGGATTCTCATTAATCATGTAGGGCCCTTTAGCTGCAGTCAAGTAGGAAAAAGCATAAGAAGCAAAACATCTTTCTTTGTCCGCGAGACCCAGGCTATGAGTAGCAGGCATGGGTAGCATGACATCATTCTCCTTTCGTTGTCCTCCTGCAGTGTTCCAACGAGGAGGAGAAGCACCTGGCTTCTAGTCTCCACTCTCATCTTCTACAGGACCTTGCCATCCTCCCCTAAATTTGCTGGGTCTCACGTGGGTGATAATCTCTGTTCTACCCCTTCAAAGTAGTTAAGGGATTAAATGAGTTAATGTGCCTGAAAGTACTGTGCAAATTGGGACTAAGCTCTTGCAGGATAGAGTTTTTTAGGAAGCTTGGAGCTCCAAGCCCTGATTGGGCAAGTCCATGCACACCCAAATAAGTGTTCACCATAATTAGGTTAATGAAAGCCTTCATTTAAAAAATAAAAACAGCCAGGCTCCTCGGTGGCTCAGCCTGTAATCCCGCACCTTTGGGAGGCTGAGGTGAGTGGATTGCCTGAGCCCGCGGGTTCGAGACCCACCTGGGCAGCGAGACCTCATCTCTACAATAAATCAAAATATCAGCCGGGCGTGGTAGCGCATGCCTGTAATTCCGGCTACTCGAAAGGCTGAGGCGGAAGGATCGCTGGAGCCCAGCAGGCCGAAGCTGCGGTGGCCGGGAGCAGCCACGGCACTCCAGTCTGGGCGACAGAGTGAGACTCCAACTCAAAAAATAAATAAACAAACAAATAAATAAATAATAAAAACAATTTTTTTGAGTCAGAGTCTCACACTGTCTCCCAGGTTGGAGTGCAGTGACATCATTACGGCACACCACAGCTTCGACTTCCTGGGCTCAGGTGACCATTCCACCTGAGCCTCCCAAGTAGCTGGGACTACAGACATGCACCGCCATACCTGGCTGATTATTTTAGTTTTTGTAAAGATGAGGTCTCGCTATGTTGCCCAAGCTGGTCTCAAACTCCAGGGCTCAAACTGTTCTTCTGCCTTGGCCTCTCAAAGTGCTGGGATTACAGGTGTGAGCCACCATGCCTGGCCAAAAACTTTCATATTTAATAGCTCCTTAACTAGGGTATGTATATGCTATTGCTAAGTGGTTTGGTTAGAGCACTTAGTAGTCTCTGATACGGTAGCTACTAACCACATTTCAAATAAAGCTTCAAAATTCACTTCCTCAGTTGTGCTGGCCACATTTCAATTGTTCAGTAGTCACAGATGGCTGGTAGCTACTGTATTGGACGGCACAGAATAGAACCTTCAATCACTGCAGAAAGTTTACTGGTTGAGCTCTCATTGATTCTTCCTTTGTCTATAATCCTTTTCCCCACCTTACCTAGTCTTTAAAATGCACAAGGTAAGAGAAAAAAACATAGAAGCAAACCAGAATAAATTCAAGCCAAACGGGAATAAACTGAAAGCATGTATTTAAGGTAAGATTTGAAGAGCTGAACACTTGGGGGAATCATTTTTTAATCGAATCCCTCTCTTCATTTAACTGAATTGCACCCGTTTTTGTACTCCCAGATCCAAGATTTCATCTTCTTTCTTCAGGCCACCCTTTCTTTCTTCCTTCCCTTCCCTTCTTGTCCAGTCCCTCCCCTCCCCTTCCCTCTCCTCCCCCCTTCTCTCCCTCCCTCTCTTCCTTCCTTTCTTTTTCCTCATCCATAACATCTGTGACTGTACCCTTCATTGGTAGTAACTTTCCTGGTTCACGGAGAGCCCTTTTGCATCTGCACACCATGCTCTACAGGCCCACTGTCCTGCTTCAGAGAAGCCCATCACCACCATATCCATTGTAGAACCCAGACCCATGAGACAAGGAATGCAGCTCTGATCACGCGCTCTGAACTCCTTGTTGGTTCCCACATATCTCAAAATCATCTCAAAATGATCAGTTTTCATATCTGTCTCCACCCACCAGACTTTAAGGTCACCGGAATGATAGCATTAGCAAAGTGCCTGGCACATAGTTGGCACTCTGTAACTGCTCGTCAAATAAATAACTATTGGCAGAACTCTGTGGTATCTTTTGTTCAGGAAGATGATACTATTGAATTCATGTCAGCTGAATACATGTTTTAAGGTGTTTCTCAGGAGGTGGGAAGAGTTGCATGAAACTGTTCATACCCTCCTGCCCTGAGGCAGCAAGCAGCCGTAACGTTGCTTGAAGCATTGCTGCATTTGAGGCTCAGACCTGTAGTCAGGTGCAAGACTCAGTTTCCAGTCAAGTGAGGGACAATCCTGGGGGCGGGGGTAGGACTCAGTATATTGTTGGGGACAGAAATGAGATAGCTGACCTATGTTAGGCCAGCCTGTGACTTGTCCCCCTCATCAGTGCTATGACAAGCTATTCAGTTCTGCTTAGTGTCCTGTGTCATCATCACAAGCCACCATTGCTTGGTTGATTTGCCTACCTATTGTCCCATATGTTTAAGTGAGCAATGTGAGGTATTAAAAAGAACTCAGCTTTTAGAGTTTCACGTAACTGAATTCAAATCTTGCCTTCAAATCCCATTGGTTAGCTGTGTGACCTTGGGCAAGTTGCTAAGCTTCTCTGAGGCTCAGTTTCTTCATCTGTTAAAGGAGGATTATAATGGTACCTGCTTTATTATGTGCTATGGTTTGAATGTATGTGTCCCTCCAAAATTCATATGTTGGAATTAAAAGCTCAAGGTAATGACATGAAGAGGAAGGAACTTTTGATATTGATTAAGGATTGAGGGCTCCACCTTCATAAATAAATTAGTGCTATTAGAAAATAAGTCCCGCTGGGCTAGGTGGCTCAGCCTGTAATCCCGCGCCTTTGGGAGGCTGAGGTGAGCGGATTGCCTGAGCCTGCGGGTTCGAGACCCGCCTGGGCAGCAAGGCCTCATCTCTACAATAAATCAAAAAATCAGCTGGGCGTGGTAGCGCATGCCTGTAATTCCGGCTACTTGGAAGGCTGAGGCGGAAGGATCGCCGGAGCCCAGCGGGTTGAGGCTGCGGTGGCCGGGAGTGGTCACTGCAGTTCAGTCTGGGCAACAGAGTGAGACTCCAACTCAAAAAAAAAGAAAAGAAAATAAGTCCCTTCTTTTCCTTCTGCCATATGAGGACACAGCATTCATCCCCTCAGAAGGAAGCGGCATTCATGGTGGGTGTCATCTAGGAAGCAGAGACTCGGCCCTCATCAGACACAGAATCTGCTAGCACCTTGAT